TACATTTATAAATATACATTTATATATACATTTATATATGCAAAATATATATGTATATATATATATATATATATATATATATATATATATATATATATATATATATATATATATATATATATATATATATATATCTTGTCTTTTGAATAAACTTATGTTCATTTACATATTACATATTATTCATATCATGCATCTAACAGGATATGCAAAAACACTTATATGCAAAAACACGTCGGATATATTCAACACCTTGTGAGAAAATTGATATAAATGATTTTCTATCCCATCACAAGGTTTATAAAATCACTAGTCTAAACATTTTTATCAGCGTGCATTTTTAATGCTTATAAATTTCTTTCATAGTTTTACATTCTTTTCTCTCTCTCCCTTTCTCTCTCTCTTTCCATATATATATATATATATATATATATACGCATTCTCTGTTATTTTTTTGTTTGTTTTTTTGTTTTTTTGTCCTTATAAAAATAATTTTCAGAAGAAAAAAAGGACGTACACATTTTTTATATCGTACAGAGCTCATATTCAAGATGATTGCAACGATGTTTCTTAGGGATTTATTAAAATACTTTCTTTTTCCTTACCGAATATTAAAAGTATCCATCTTTTGCTTCGATATTTATAGGAGGATTTTATTGCTTGTTCTTAAGCATTAAAAGCCAACATGAGATTTTCAAAGAAATTGCAGATGAAACTCTGCTAAAGTAAGGAATCTTTGAAGAAAAATCTTATTATCTTGGAATAGGGTGAAACTAACATTATTCACGTGAGTGTTTTTTTTTTTCTTCATTTTTAATATAATATTGTGTGTCATTATTTGCTCGGATGCGAACAATCTGAAACAAGTTGAAATTACTTGCTAGAAATTTCAGTGTTTAACTTACGACGCGAAGAATAGGGTGGTTTTATGATCTTTTGAAAGCCGACACCATTATGATTGAGAGAATTATTCATATGATGATGGAAATATTATTCTGGAAAGTATTATGGGATAGCAAAATAAAATAATGAAAAATTAAAAATAAATATATAAATATTTATGCAGATAATATTGAACATATCTATTTTAAATAAGTGCAAAAGCGTATGTATGAATAAATGGACTTACATATATATATATATATATATATATATATATATATATATATATATATATATATATGTGTGTGTGTGTGTGTGTGTGTGTGTATCTCAATATAAAATGATGCAAATTTTCGTCTCTGTGTGCGTCCGTGTGTGTTTATGTGTGCGTCCGCCTTTGTTCATCCAGGTGTGAGATTGTGCATATATATATATATATATATATATATATATATATATATATATATATATAT